GGTGTAAGGTTGTGTGTTTGAAGAGTGAATTTTCCTGGAAGAGTTTCATAAATCATATCGATTTCTCACAGTTGAATCAGCCGGACAGTTTGGAAGGAGAGGGGCACGGAGAGTTTACGTGTTGGCAGAGATTGACAAATAACCTCGCTCGTTATCGAGGTGGGGTACTATAAGGGACGCTGGCCCCGGTTTCCAGCAGGTGCGGCTCCCCACCAATAGACTGGAGCAACCGGTGAGGTCACACTGGTGGGGGTCGCTCTTCCCACCTTCTCTACTGAAGTCAGGCTGGTTTCCTTGTTCCCCCCCCTTAAAAAAAAGGTGGGGCGAGCAATCCAGACTGACAGAAAGTCGAACGAGGGGAGGGGGCCAAGATGGAGAGATGGGATTGCGGAAGTACGAAAGATCTAACTGCCAATCAGGAAGCTCGAGGAATGGAGAGCCAGAGCGATCGAAATAGCTTACCAACGGGAAGGCACGCATCAATTTAGTACGTTCGAGAAACTCGAGTGAGATAGAGATCGGAGTTGCGCCAGGGAAGAGAAGAGGGAAGGGGCAGATGTCAGCCGAACGTCGGGAAATGAAAAAAGGGTGATTTTCGAATGATTTGAATGGTTATTGCAGCAATCAATGCGGACGTCGAGGAGCCCATAGACACAGAGAAACCGTTGGAATTGGAGAATATGAGCCATGCAGATCAACTCGTTCGCAGAACTTGCGAGCGAAAACTGGACAGCCGCTATTTTTTTCCCTTCACTCGCAGAGACGGATAAATGATCTCGTTGGCTGGATCACACACACACACACACACACACACACACACACACAGAGAGAGAGAGAGAGAGAGAGAGAGAGAGAGAGAGAGAGAGAGAGAGAGAGAGAGAGAGAGAGAGAGAGCAGTCGTGGTTGGCAGAGTTTTTCAGCATGATTTTTTCTCTCTCTTTTTCAAATGCGTGCTAGTGGTCGGACAGAAGACCTGGACGTGTGTGACCAGAAAGCACTTACAAATTCAGTCAGGAAAGGCCTATTGTGAGTGTGCCCCTCAGAATATTTACGACCTCCTTACACGCAGTATAAAAGCAGGAGGAGTTGTCGATGCGAAGGAGTATGCCGTATTTGTAGTTTCTAGTTCAGGTTTCGTAGTTTTGCGCTGAATTGCCTCGAGGCAAAATTATGTACACCTTGTGATGGAGAGTCCTGCTTATCCACTAACTACCCTTTGCTTCGCGGTCTGGGTATATATACACGATCATTGATATATTCCATGGCGATTAAGGATTCACTCACAAGAGAAGTTCCCCGGCTGTATCTGACCTAAACTACGTCGTGGTGCAATCCCACAAAGTTCTAGTGTCCGTATGGCCTTACTGCGAGCCCGACAGGTGATACTCCTGTGATCCTAGAATCTGCTGGTTCCAAATCAGCACAATATGAGTTCTGCTATGACAGGAACCTCTCCTTGGGCTAGGTCCCACTTGCACGAATTAAGAGAGACTGACCGTAGATAGCAAAAATCAACGGCCGAAATATCGTGATGTCCGCAAGCGGGACCTTGCCCCTTGCTAAGGACGAACAACGGCTATAAGACTGGTGCGTTTCTAAGAAACGGCTAAACAAGCAGACAAACACACAGACTGACAGACGGGCAGACTGACAAACAGATACTGACAGTCTGACAAACAGACAGACAGACTCTGGACAGACAGGAACAGATCAGGCAAACAGATAGACAGACAGACAGACAGTCCGGGAGGTAGGCAGACAGATTGACTGACAAACAGACAGACAAATAGACTGATGAACTGACGGACAGACAAGATCGAAAACAGAAGACAGACAGACTTGCAGATCAACAGATGGATAGGCAACCAGGCAGACAAACAGACGCACAGACAGGCAGAAAAGACAAATGAACACACTAATAGACAGACAGACAGACAAGACAGACGAACAGGAATATAGGCTGAGAAGACAGCCAGCCAGACAAGACAGACAGACTGACAGAGGCGTAGTCAGACTGAAAGGCGCTCCTGTACTTGTTAGGCTCTCAATGCCGCAGCTATCGCGCGAATTGTTGAAGGCGTTGTTCGGCAACAACCGCCAAAAAGACTCGCACCATTGTCCCTCCACTCTGGAACGTAGGAGGCAAAGTCCTCCTCTGATACGCCAGTGGAGGCCACCCACTCCTTCTTATCATCATCCCAAGCCTCTCCACTGTTGGGATAGACAACGATTGGCTTTGACGTGACCTGCTTTGCGATCGTGACCAAACTCTGGACAAACCTGGGGCTTACACAGTTCGATCCGACGGCCACGATTTTGTTGCACCGATCTGCAACAGCCACGCACTCTTCGAAGGGATCGCCGCGGGCAGAGTGCACACCATCCATCGATACATAAGTGATCCATGACGGGATGGGGACATCTTCCTCCTCCAGAACACGAATTAAAGCCTCCGCCTCCATCCGGGAGGGTATAGTCTCTAGTGCAAGAAGATCGACGCCCGATGTAGCCAGCAGTATAATTCTGTCCCTATGAAAGTCCATCAAATCTTCTATCGTCACGTCTCCATAATCTCCACTGTATTCTGAACCATCGGCCAAGAATGCACCATAGCTGCCTACTGATGCTGCCACTAGTGGCATTCTGGGCCTCTCCTTCTCCTCCTGCTCTGCAGCCTCCTCTCTCCCATATTGAGTGCAAAACTTCTTGCTCTCCCCCTCTTTGCTGTTTCGCTTTTTTCCTATCGTTCCTGCGTTAAACCCGTAGTCGTTAGAACCAGAACTAGGAGTACGGTTGGAACCGGAGTTCGAGTTGACGTCAGTTCCTCCGTCGTCGGTGTGATGGGTTTCTTTCATAAACTGCTCCCTCGCCTCGCCTGCGAGCCGCACACTCGTCAGGAACAACTCTCTGGCTTGCTCCCTACCGTAGCCCCTTTTCTCAAATCCCTGGAATGTGGCCTGATACGAACTAGAGATGATGATATCTGAACCCGATCGCAGGTAATCAAGGTGTATGTCGCGAATTAGATCGGGGTTGTCGATCAAGCAGCGCGCGCTCCAGAGGGGGTCGTCAATATTCTGACCCCTCCGCTCTAGTTCCGTCGCCATCCCGCCATCCAGCACCGCGAACCCACCATTACGCTGCAGCAATCCATCGATCACGCCGGATGCACTCCCCGCATAACTGGACTCACAGCTGCGGCTCCCTGACAGAGGTTCCATTGCGTCGCCACGTGGTCTTCTTGGTCGTCCTCAAATGATGCCGGTCTGGGAGTCGAAACCACTAACTGGGAAGCATGACACGCACAAATCGATCGAGAAATGGGGCCTCGCTGTACTACATTTCGAATATGGAAAGATGCACCGCCATGAGTTTTGTCTTTTGTGCATGTAAATTTTTTTTGGAAAGATAAAAGCAAAAAGAACTGGCGTCGCGACCCACGATCTGCGCAGTACCACGACCAGATCGCTGCTTGTTGATCACAAAATCTCTCTCTCTCTCTCTCTAACTTATGCGTGGTTCGAGGCCGCAGCGTTCTTTACCAGCGGGGGCCACGTCCCAATAGCGGGAGAAGAGACTACCAAAGTTTTCGGGCACGCGCGCCTCTGCCGTCGGGTCTGAGGGCATACTCACACGGGGACCTATATTCCCAAAATCCCAAAAAAGAAAGGAAAAGGCCGGTCACACGGGTCTACCAAATTCGCAGATGTACTATTCCTGTGCCCATTTGTCAGCGGCCTGGGAAGTCGCGGGGCAAGGGATTTTGCGGTCACCTCTGCTGGAGGTGACCCCAAATGCCCTTTTTTTTTCACATTTTCTTCAAAAATTGGCAAAAATTCGTTCACAAAAGTTCTTGCACAATTGGTGGATGGCGTCGTGTGACCAGCCAAGTACCAAATCCCCATTTCTCCAGATGGCCGCGACCTTGTCCCATCTAAAACGGCACAAACAGTGTGACGTGAACCATGCCCAAAACCTCAAATAGGCCCTTCCCGAATCTGCATATTTTGCGGATCTGGGGTCGCCGTGTGAGTATGCCCTCGAAAATCTCATAGCCATATTGTGGCCACCTTGGAAAATATCCAAAACTAATGTGAAAATTTTCGAAATGCCCCCAAAGTTTGCGTTTGTTTGCGGTGTGCCCCTGTAAAGGCCGAAATACCTTGTGGTGCCCGTCGGGCCTCTGAAATTTTCCGCAGGCCCCTGTCAGCATGGGGCATAACTTTCCGATATGCCCTTACTGGACGGCTGGTGGCGTTTCGTAGGTTGGTCCTTGAAATGCCCTCACGAGGGGCACACATCATTCTGTGATGCCCTTGCAGCAGTGGTGGCAGGAATTCGAATTCAATGTGGTAGGCATTCCACGCGCCGCCACGGAAAAACGGTCTGTATATGTGTGTGTGTGTGTGT